AATTAATATATTCTTATATAATTTATATTATTATCTGATTATGTTAGTCTAATGTCTGCTCTTATCTGATGGTTGTACTCCTATTAATTGTAACTCTGAGAACTAGTGTATCACAATTTTATTAGTATATGCTTTATTGTTCTTTTTTTCCTTGATTCTTCTACACCTATTAATGTCTCTCACATGCAGACCATATGATGAGAGAGGATAATACAAAGCACACCCTCATCACATCATCCTGCTCCACTCAAGCCCATACAACAGGCAGAAAAAGTAAAAAGGCCGACCAATCAGACTTCGCGCCTAGTGTGGACCATAACTCCCAGCATGCCCTTGCCACCCACATGCCTAGTCTAAACGGCTTCCTATTTCCAGCAGGACGACGGGGCTTGTAGTTTCTTCCTAGGCTCTGTCAGATGGCGCTCCGGCGTCCTTCACTACAATTCCCGACGTGCCTTGCGGCGGCCAGCCAATAGCTGCCGAGCGCCCTCCCTGTAACCCGGCTTGGGATTAAAGATGGCGGACCTGAGTGAGACAGCAGCGGGCGAGTACCCGGGGGAGGAGGAGAATGGGCACGGACACTGCAGCGACTGCGAGAATGAGGAGAAGCACAGCTCGAACCGGGGGTAATGTGTGCCGTCACGCCGGGGCCTTTGGGTGGACCGCTGCTCTGTCATTGTCACATGCCGTGCCTTGGTGCGCCTCGTGTCCCGCCTCTCTCCATACGTGATTGGTCGAAGCGGCCGAAATCCCTTAAATTGATTGGCTGCTGATGCTGCCAGTCAAGGGATCAGTGATTAAATCTAAATGAATGGCATGAACAGATTCTAGTTCTCTCCGAATATTTTAATCTAGACTGGGCACACTCTAGAGGATGAAAGATCACCCGGGGCATTGCTGGCCGTCCCAGGAAGATTAGTGGCCTAATACCTGTCATCATTATGGCTGACAGGGGATTATGTCACTCCCCTTCTGTTCCACTGTCATTGTTATCCACTGGCATGTACATCTGATCACCAGGGACAGTCCCCATGCTGGGAGACTGCTTCTATACAAGTTATGTGCTCCCTAATTTGCAGGAAAGGGCCTTTTTTTTAAAATGTATATTCTTTTGACCTTTTTTATATATATATATTTTTTTTTTATTCATATTGTTTTATATGAAGTGGATTGAGCAGGTCATTGAAAAGTGCATGCATGTTCCGTGCCCCTGTTTTCACATGGACACACGTGTGCATGTATGACAGCAGAGCATTTGAATATTAACTGCTGAGCTAGATCATACACAAAGCAACAAAGCAACCTGGGGGCCCGGTGGATGTCCAGGGGGGCATCTTCGTGTTTCAGCCCTGGGATACGTCACTCTGACCTCTCATTGTACCCCACACTTAACCAACGCGGTGCAAAGGCCTAGCTTCATGCTCCACAGTGTACCAGGGGCATAGGGCCTGGTGGTTGTCCAGTGGGCCCATCTTCATGCTCCTGCCATATACTAGGGGATTGTCCAGGGCACCCTTCTTCATGCCCCTTCTGTATACTAGATAAATAGGGCCCTGTGGATGTCCAGGGGACCCTTCTTCATGCCCCTTCTGTATACTAGGTAAATAGGGCCCTGTGGATGTCCAGGGGACCCTTCTTCATGCCCCTGCAGTATACTAGATAAATAGGGCCCGATGGATGTCCAGGTGACCCTTCTTCATGCCCCTGCAGTATACTAGCTAAATAGGGCCTGGTGGATGTCCAGGGGACCCTTCTTCATGCCCCTGCAGTATACTAGCTAAATAGGGCCTGGTGGATGTCCAGGGGACCCTTCTTCATGCCCCTGCAGTATACTAGGTAAATAGGGCCCGGGGAATGTCCAGGGGACCCTTCTTCGTGCCCCTACAGTATACTAGGTAAATATGGCCCGGTGGATGTCCAGGGGACCCTTCTATATGCCCCTGCAGTATACTAGGTAAATAGGGCCCGGTGGATGTCCAGGGGACCCTTCTTTATGCCCCTGCAGTATACTAGGTAAATAGGGCCCGGTGGATGTCCAGGGGACCCTTCTTTATGCCCCTGCAGTATACTAGGTAAATAGGGCCCGGTGGATGTCCAGGGGACCCTTCTTTATGCCCCTGCAGTATACTAGGTAAATAGGGCCCGGTGGATGTTCCCTGGACCCATCTTCATGCCCCTGCAGTATACCAGGAGCATAGGGCTTGGTGGATGTCCAGCGGACCCTTCTTCATACTTCAGTCCTGAGATACATGGCTCTGAACACCCATTATACCCCACACTTAACCACCATGGTACAAGGGCCCGTTTTCATGCTCCTGTATCGAGGAAATAGAGCCTGATGGATGGCCAGGGGGGTCCATCGTCATGCTCTTTCAATAAAACGGGGACGGTAGGGCCCGGAGGGTGTCCAGGGGACCCATTTTCATGTCTCAGTCAAGGGATTCACCACTTTGACCTCCCATTGCACCCTGCACTTAACCACCATGGTGCAAAGGCCCATGCTCCTGCTCCTGCAGTGTGTCAAAGGAATAGGGCCCAGTGGATGTCCAGGCAGTCCACCTTCATGCTCCTGCAGAAAACCAGAATCACAGGGCCTGGTGGATGTTCGGGGGGGGGGGGCACCTTCAGGCTCCTGCAGTATAACAGGGGAATGATTTAATTTGTCAAAGCTGTGTCTGTTTTGAATGGTGCCACAATGCCCAGATGTGAATCATCTGCACATTGCACCATTTGTTTTTGTTTTTTACACAGCACATGGCAACTCGCTTCTAAGGTCAGGGGCATTCTCCATGTTGTTTGTAATATACAAGTGGTGTCAGGCAACAAGCCTGTTTTTCACGCTCTGCCTGGCTTACTCTGAGATTTTGTCCCATTGACACCATTTGGACAGGAAGTTGAGGGACTGTTTAAAATTTGACCGCTGATGCATATTATGGGCCAGTAGAGCATTCGGGGCATCAGAGAGGCTCCATCTATCCACACAAATAAGTATTTGTACTTGGGCATTAATTGGATGTGGGGTACCCAATAATCATAGGGGCCTTCCGATGGCTCTGCCTACTACTGTGATAACTGGCTGGTGATCTACAAGGTCTGATTTCTTTTAAATAGCATATAAAGCTGAACTCCAGGCACACAAACTCCTATTTAAATATATTCCTCAATATTAATAAAGGATATAAATCCACTTTGCGGGCTTTAAAATACCTTTGCAAACCCAATATTACCTTGTAAAAGTGGCAGGGGCAGCATTGCTATACTGTACAGAGCACTGAGAGGGAGTTAGAGGGCCCATCCACTACAGGCTGCCTGCAGAAAACTACAGGATGGGGAGGAGACCAGACCAGTCACCCTGCACAAGGAGAGCTGTCACTGGTTTCTTCTGATAAGTTCCATGACTGTGGTGTGATGAGAAGATCAGGGGGAGGAACCAGTGGGCACTGTTGGGGAGCCAAGAGATCAACTGCCGCAAAAGTGTCGGTTTCCCAACATACATGGTGGGGGGGGGTCAGAAACAGTACCGAGTGGTATTTGATGGCGCGGTCATCCAGATGGGTATTTACAATTGTCCAGGTAACAGGGGTATTATTAATAATGTTTCACTACAGGGTGCCTTTATGCAGAATTGTGCCCCGGAAATCCATAGATGAGGCTGCTGTTCTTTGAATCCTAGTCTGCAGAGTCGTTCCACAGCAGCAACCCACCACATGGGCTACAATCTGACTGTACAATCTACCAACACTGATGTAGTGCAAGGGCTTTCCTGATTTCAGTATCGATGGTTGGATGGTTTAGATAGGTCTGCACATTATAGTTTTGGTAAATCTAATAAAAGAAAAGATACAAAGGTTTTACAATAAAATTGTAACATCTATGGTGAGCTTTATTTTGGCTGCCCCAGAATTAGTCTATGACCTAAGTATTGTGGGTTGGCAACTTTATTTCCAGGCTTCCCATCCAGGTATTTTAGGGAAAGACTCCATTGGAGCAGGCAGCTGGGGGAGAGTCGGAACTCCATTGGGGCAGGCAGCTGGGGGAGAGTCTGAACCCCATTGGGACTGGATGAGGGTCGTAACCCCATTGGGGCAGGCAGCTGGGAGGTAGTCGAAAGACCATTGGGGCAGGCAGCTGGGGGAGGGTCGGGACCCCATTGGGGCCAGATTAGTGATGCGAAGTATGAAAGTTAGCGGGCCGTATAACAGTCAGGCCTCTAGCATTTTTAGAATGTTAGGCCGGCTTTGGCAACATCTGTGCTTCATGACAGGTTTTCTTTAAAGGGTTAGTATACTTCGACATCGGAAGTTTTTCCCGCAGCCCACTTGTCAAAACTGAGCGACACTCAGTTTCCGTGCATTTCGTGAACACACAAAAAATTGCATGCATGCTGAAATGGGCTGCCCTCCTTGCTGCATAGAAGCTCATGCATCTGTTTGAGCTTCGTGCATATAAAAATGCGTCTCATTTGCCATGTTCGCTTGCAGTTCCAGCGCTTGTTCGGCAATGGGCCACGTTTTTCGTGTGCTTCATGAGCGTGCCAAAAGCTGCAATGGGGGCTGCTAAAGCAATCGGAGATCTGCTGCTCATTATACAGGGGGTACAGTAGTAGGTGTACTATGGGGAAGTAGGCTTAGCTAATGTGGAAGTCTCTGGTGCCACTTCCCCCTGTGCTACTATATGACACAGATCAGGAAAGTCTCTTTAGTGAGATCACATGACTTCCAGCACTTTTTCTCAAAATAAAGGTTATTTCCAGCACTTGTTCGACAGGGAAGCTCTCCCTCCTGTTTGAGCAGAGCCAGGTCAGGGGGCACCAAACTACTATTGTATCACAACCATCAGTCTGTTCCAGTGCATATGTGAATGGTACTTTCTGTTATCTGTATGGGCCTTACCCTGTCATGACCCGGAGTGGGGGGGGGTTGTCCCTCTGTGACCAGTGTCTCTGCTCACAGGGCTTTAGGCCTAATTTATGTTTTACTTGGATGGCTACAGAGTTCTCCCATCCAGCATAACGTTTTGCATAGAAAATTTCTGTTCTGTAACCTAAAATGGATCTAATACACACATCAGACTTCCAATAGGTTTGCATTGCTTTGGTATAGGGTTTTTTCTTGATTTTGGCAGTCAAATTTCGGAGCCGTTGGCAACTTGCAAAGCTTGTCGGAAGTCTCCAATTTAAATACTTGATAGCACGCCCCAAAAGTGCTTTAGATGCTCATAAGGCTTTTTAAAAAAAAGTGAATTATGTATTTAAAGGAGAACTATGGGGTCAGGGCTTTTACCCATAGTTCTCCTTAGTGTAACGGGAGGACACAAACTAGCGTCCTCCCGTCACCCTAGGCTCAGTATACCGCGAGCTATAGCTCACGGTATACTTCGTGACTGCCAGTCACCACTCTCTGCAGGGATAGATCATTTCCCGATCTATTGAGCCGACCTGTGACAGTTTTATTGTCACAGGTCATCTCAGATTATGAGGCTGAGTGATTTTCACTCGCCTCATAATTCTCCTTTTAACAAGCCAAAGTGAGATCTTTAGACAGAGCTTTCTAAATGTCTACTAAACACGTCACGATGTGACAAAGACGCATTTCAGTCCTATATGTGCTTTAAGTAGTTTAACATGCATTCATTTTTGTGAAGTTTGCCATTAGGGTCTATCTGTCTGCACCCCCTGATGGTAAGTAGATCTGTTCCCTGGCAATTTGGGGCACCTTGTTCAAAAAAACAGACTTCATGGTTTTGTTAATGGACACCACCTGCAGTTTTTCTTGTACGCCATTCTACGGGCCCAAGCACAGTCTGTCTGCAGGTCCTAGAACTCGGCTAAAAGGAGGGGAGTTCACATTTTCTCTTATCCACCGAAGTGACAGGGTCTCTTTAAAGCCTACCCCCTGACCCAAGTATACTCCCCCCGCCAGTTCTTCCTCCTTCATTGTAGCTGCCACAAAATGCCCAGTGCTTTCCAGGGATGGTGGAACATGCGACTTCCTCTCTTGATCAAGTACTCAGTGGCCAAACACTGTTGCATGATGTAACGGTGATGTCATCGCTCCCACCCCAGTCCACAGCTAGCCTTTTGCGGCAGCTGCGATAGAGAAGAGTGACGGGGGATCGCTTTAGGGGTATGTATAACTGGTTTAGGGTGCACATTTTAAAGATGCCCTGAATGTGCAACGTCACTGGGTCTCTTTAAGAAAAGCATTATATTTATTTTAAATACTATATTGGTTTTCTATAATCCCCTGCAGAGCCGGATTAGTATAAGACCAGGAGAGGGAAGGCGAGCACCATGAGCTTATCGGACCCTATTGCTTTGCACAATGTAGATATGCTTACAACAGGGGGGAGCACAGGAATGGCCTCATCAGTCCACTTTTGCACCTTCATTGCCCAATTAGCAGCTTGGGGGGTTAAAGAAGTAGAACTCGAGGGATTTAAAAAAATCTACCCTTGCATTGGAGCTCATGTTGTCTAGGGGTCTCAAATAAAGTAAATATACCCGCCTGTACCTCTGGGCTACTGGACCGGTCCTTGCCGTCTCTTCTCCCCTGAGCTCCAGTGGTCTAAGGACCTCTGCGGGACCAAGGATCAGGTGAGTTTTTATCTTTTTTTTCTATTTGAGCTTCCTAGATAAAATGAGCACCTAACCCTTGCAGTGCAGGGGTAGCCTCACTGCAAGAGTTCTTGTCTCACTGCTTTGGAGAAAACTGAGGTGACTGGCTTGCCTGAGCTTTTTGGCAAGGATCTGGATCACAAGACTGGCGAAACAGAATTTAAATCCTTTAGGAGTTCCTCATTTTGTATTTCCGCTGCGTGTTTAACTTTCAGTGGCTGTTGGTATAGGTTTATATACAGCCCACTGGCTCCTAGATACAGCTAACTGACCATTGGCTTCTGGATCATGTTGTCCACCTCTGGCCCATCCATAGTTTTCCAGAGTAGAGGAAATAGCCATTTGTCAGTCAGTCTGTGGAGACACGTGGCTATCAGCCAGACAGCTGACTCTGTCCTGTGTCTCTAGCACCATCTCGCTGAGCATATGTCACATGAAATAGCCATTTAAATAGGGCTCTGTTCCACATGGCTGACTCAGGGACTCTAATAGGATTACCAGGTATGTTTACTGTGTGTGTGGAGTTTCTGCATCTGCCCGGCTCACTGATCTCTCCCTATTTCTCTTGGAGATGTCTACACAATGAATTGGGAATCTCCAGGCTGATCTATTGTAGTTTCTGTCTCTGTGTATGCAGGGAAAAGCTGCCGTCTGACTACTTGGAGACTCGGCTCTAAACTGTGACAAATGAAACTCCAATTTTGTGGCAGGCTTTAAGTATGCGGACTGAAAAAAATGGCACTCTGAAATCCGTAGCGCTTGGAGGGGTTCTAAACTCCCCTAAATGCAACTCTATAACAGCCAATGTGTCCATGCACAATGTGGCTTTTAGAACCTTTCATCTAGGGCAACGTTTAGGGACATGAAAGCCTACGGTCAGAGAGGCGCATTCTAGGGTAGTTCATGCAGGAATGTGTGTAAACGCATTTCATCTGCCTGGTCAATTCACCTAGCCACTAGAATGATTGTACATGTGTGCTTCTGAACGTGATACTTTGCGCTCCATTACACACGTTTTGCATGCTGAATGCCAGCTGCTGGTATGTTCATGAGCATTGCCAGTCCTCTGCTCAGACACTGTATACATTGTAAAGATCTTAGGAAACTTTGTTGCAGATTGTAACCTACCTATCTTCTATAGATATATTGATTGGACGTCCCAGTGCCTTTACTAAACAGAGAGGTCTGTCTTTACTGTAATTACCTGGGGTCACGATGCAATCTGATTGTACGATCAACTTTAGATCTACCTAAACTGTAAGAGGAGCACCCTAAACTATCCAATCAGACAGGCGCTTGCCCTGCATACTTATTGGTAAATCTAAGGTTCCATTCACACCGGCGTGGTTGTCCGCGCGTATTCAGCCCAATATGCTTGGAGCCGTTCTAAACATAAAAAACAATGCACTTTTAATGTGCATTGTTCAGACTTTAGTGGCCGCGCAGTACTAAACCACGCGGCCCGCAAAAGTCCAAGCACGTTTTTTCCCCCCCATGGATTCTAGTAATACCGTAGCTGCGAACGAGCGGAATCCGTGCAGATGGATGTTTGCGTGCCGCGCAGTCTTCCGCGCGGAAACCCAAGCAGCAAACGCTATGTGTGAATGGAGCCTAAGCCCTCGTTCACACCTGAACGTTTTGTAGCGCGTTCTACGCTCAACGAACGCTGTACAAAACGCTCAAAAATATAAATCCCATTGTATTCAATGGTCTCGTTCCCACCTTGGCGTATTTCCGCCTGTCCCTAACGCTCTACAAAACGGCCCACGCCTGAAAAGGTACATGTACTACTTTGGGCCGTTTTGTTGCGTGTTTCCATTGGGATACAGCCAAGTAGCCTTCGAAAACGCGCGACGGGTCGCGCAACTTTTTTACCGCAAATCGCGGTAAAAAACCACGCGACGGTCGCGCATATGCAATACGCCAAGGTGTGAAGGAGACCTAACAGATTGTGCAATCCTATTGTAACGTAACGTGTGTTTAGCTTTAGTCAAGTCCAGTTTTGTAGTAAGGGCAATCCAACAAGCACAAAGATAGAACCCTGCTCCATCCCAGAGTTTTGTTGTTGAGTACGGAGAAATGCCAGGGGCCCGTTAGAGGAGCCCGTCCTCGCTCTAAGCCACCCAATCCAGAGAACACTGTTAAGGTCACTTTATTGCGCTCCAGCCATGGTGCACTGTCCCCTTCGCCTACTCAATGCGCTTCACCCTGTACAGACTTGGTTGTAGAGATCTGTACGAGTCCATACAGGGTGAAATGCTGAATTTTTATACATATATAATATATTTGTGATCAGTATAATGAAGAATTGACTTTTTTAGTAATTGGCTTCATTCTATTTCAGAGAGGGTGATAACACCGGAGTCAAGAAAAAGAAGAAGCAGAAGCGCAAGAAAGACAAAGGAGGGGACAAGCTGGAACCAGCTGAGGCTCCGGTAATCCTTTACTTCTGCTCTAAAGAGGGCCTGTATTATGTGTTTTATATATGGCCATTTAGTACATAGTCAAAGGTTTGTGGACATTGACCATAACACTTGTGTAAGCTGGTTGTCGAGTTGCCCCCTTCCTTTTGCAGCCATAACAGCCTCCACTTTTCTGGGAAGATTTTAGTGTGTGAGGCTTTGTTCCTATCCAGCTAAAAAAGCATTTGTTATGCGCTGGTCCTGATGTTGGAAGTAAGGATCTGGCTTTGTAATTCATCCCAGAGGTGTTCAATAGATTTGAGGTTAGGGTTCTGTACAGGCCACTCACATTCCTCCACACTCCTCAAACCATGTATTTTATGGAGCTGGCTTTGTGCGCAGGGTGGTGGAACATAAAAGGACCTTCCCCAAATGTCTGCCACGAGGTTGGGGGCACGCAATTGTCCAAAATGTCCTTGTATGCTGTAGCATTGACCGCACCCTTCAATTGAAACACCTGAACTCAATCATTTGGAGGGGTGTCCATATAATTTGGGCCCTAAAATGTACCAGCAATGCCGCCCTTTGACATAACTACAATGGAAGTTTTCATTCTGGCTTGCAAAAATCTACAATTGCCTCCTAAATGAGGCTCAGCTCACACACCAGGATAGGTACACTTCTTGTCAAAAAGGTGATGGTACTTTCTAGCTGAGACCAATGAGCTTTGAAGATTGCGGTGGATAAATTAAGGGTTTTATCCTGAGTTGTAAAGTCTCATCATATCCTCTCCTGTTATAACATCAGCATTGTAATAGGAATACATACTAGAGTTGGTTTTCATAATGCAATCAAAGCTTACCTGAAAAATTCCCTTTTATGTAGTGAGCGCTGCCTTCCACCACTTCCACCAACTTCCTGGATTCCCAGTGTGCTGCACATCTGTCTACCTGATGTTTCATGTGATGCAATCTTGCTTTCTGAAGACTACATGTCCCATCATGCATTGCTTCCAGCAAGCCATGATACTGTTACATTGTTCAGACATTGAGTTGTAGTTCAGAAGGCAGGCTCAGGGAGGGGTGACTTCATAGAACCCTGAAATGATTGCACATAGCCAGACCTAGATAGAGCTGGGTTTATGAAGAGCTGCAAATTCCTCGTTTTGGGATTACGGCTTATACATAAATATTTTTGGGATCCTTTCTTTGACCTCTTTGTTTAGGTGAACACCCTACCTGCTGAGAAGATCCAAGAGATCCAGAAGGCCATCGAGCTGTTTTCTGTAGGCCAAGGGCCAGCTAAGACCATGGAGGAGGCCACCAAGAGAAGCTACCAGTTCTGGGACACACAGCCTGTTCCTAAGTTAGGTAGGAGCCACGTTTTTAATATCTTACAAGTAGCTGCTTGGGTAAAGCAGTCCTTGCTTGTAAAGGTTCTCATGCTAAATGTGGAATCCAGTCCATGTCTAGTTTTTTTTCTTCTAAATGTACAGAGAAAGGGACTGATAACATGTGATCATACAGACTTGTCTTTGTGTCATATATTGATCAGATGGATGAGAAGGTCCAAAGAGTCTTTCATTATTTAATCACAAAGGAAAAACCGCTAACGCATTTTGGGGGTAACAACACTCCCCCTTTATCAGGGCTTGATACAGTAATGTGGGGGCTTAACTCAAAGTACTGAAACCAAAGGAATGTCTTATTTAGTGTAGTATGAGTTCTACTTTGGATTGTAGTTGCATAATGTGATCAGAAACCGTTCCTTTGTGATTGAATAATGAAAGACTCTTTGGACTTTTTCACCCATCTGGCCTGGTCCCCTAGCGTGTTTAATTATCTTTCTGTCCAGAGTGTGGCTTTAAATATTTTTAGATCTGGAGAAGTTTACAGAGTTTTAGAAGACCATATAACCGGGCAAGTTATAGTGAGCAGGACTGAAGGTAACCTAAAAGACCTTCACTGACCCAGTGCAGATCTCAGTAGAACCTTCAAAGACATCTGCATGCCTTGCTTCCTTCACAAATCCCCAAAAATAAGGGGCTCATCTGTTTTTGTTAGGATAGTGTGTGTGTGTGTGGGGGGGGGTGTGACCATGCAGATCTTTTCATTTTTCCCCGGGCCAACTGTTGGTTTACAGCCTCGTATTATACAGCCATCTATTCCAAACAAGTGTTCCAAAAACTTTTATGCATAAATTGTATTGTTCCAAATGAGTCGTATATATATTGCACTGCTTAGTATGTCTGATAGCCTGATGTACTTCTTATAGGTGAAGTGGTCAACACACATGGCCCTATCGAGCCGGACAAGGATAATATCCGCCAGGAGCCATACAGCCTGCCGCAGGGTTTCACTTGGGATGCTCTGGATTTGAGTGACAGAGCAGTGGTAAGTAAGGCTAGGGCTTCCACCGGTTTGCCACTTTACCCCAGGCAAAAGCACAAGAACGCAGCACCAGCCTTCCCTGCTATCGTATCGACAGTAAATCCAGGTTTTCAAGCAAGAAATTCCACAAAGATTCTCTATGACCTTGGAGCTCCCATTTGCCGAATCTAGAGATAACTGTTTAACACAAATTCTCCAACTCGGGAGCTCTGAGTACATGGGGCGATCATGTTGAGTATTTAAACCTTGTATTTACTGCCTGATAGCACATAAATGCAGCATTATGGAGATATGGAATCTTAGTCACTTTCTTTTTGCCTGGTATTTTTCTTTTTTCCTACTAATACCCTGCAACAAGAAAGGGAGCGTGGATTCCCAGCAGTCAGTTTTGGTGTAATACTAAACCCCCCCCCAATGCACAGCTGTCATAGATTAAACATCTCCGCTGTTTCCTTCTGCAAAAATCCTATTTCTTTAGTCTATTCAAAACCTAAAAATGTGCTGTACCTGCTCAGGAAAAATCAAGTTCACATAAAGAACGACTCAAGTTAAAAATTTGTATTAACCCTTGAAGTGTGGCTACCCCCGCACTGCAAGGGTTAACGGCTCGTTTTTGCCTAGGGTAAAAAAAAACAATGTTAGACTCGCCTGAACCTCTGAGCCGGCGGGCTGTAATGGCGTTCCATCCTGCCTGCCCCCCCCTCCTCCGCTGCAGCGATAGCATGTCCCTCAGCGTCCTCATGTCCTATACACTGTATGGGATGAGATGACTCAAGGCTTGGAGGATCGGGTGAGTAACTTTTTTTTTTTTTTTCTTTTTTTTACCACAGGCAAAAAATGAGCAGTTATCCCTTGCAGTGCGGGGGTGGTCCCACTGGAAGGGTTAATACAACAGGAGTTCTGCTTTTAAATGTAGCTCCTTTTTTAAAGTGACGCTGTCATGTCGGGGGTCAAAACTGAAAGAATACACCATACTATAAATGAAGAAATGTATAGAATTACCGTACCTTTCTGGTGGCCTTTGTGTTTAAGTGCCGCTGTGTAGCTGCTCCCTGGCCTGCTGCACACTGGTTTCTAGATGATGTACAAGCCAGTGAGAAGAATCACTGTGTGCGGTGGTGGGAGGGTGGCAGATATTCGACCCACCCAAAGAGTCAAATAATTGCACCATCGCATTGTTTCACCACACAGGCGACACTAAAGATGCATATTTAACTGCTTCTTGTACAGTTATAACTTCTTTTAGGTTTGACTGAGTGGTGACAGGGTCACTTTAACTCCTTAATAGCAGGTCACACAAACAAGAAATCCTGATCATTGCAAATCCTGGTTATTGCAGTGATCACATGATCAGGACATGGTCCTACCGGCTGCTGATCATTTAGTCTGAGACCAGGAGCTGTCGGTCTCCGTGTTGGTGGCATGTGATCGGGTGCTTCCAGCACAAACGTATATCGTATTTATGCTGCACCACGGAAGAAAGGCCACTACCATGATGCCACTATATGTCTTACGCCGTCGTAAAGAGGTTAAGCAGATACACGTCTTTTACTTGTGCTCCTTCACTGTCACATTCAGCTAGCTGGAGCTTAGGAAAGCCCTGTGTAAGTTAGCAGTCACCAGAGTGCTATTGACTCCTCATCTGACAAGGCTGACTGCCGTCACATGTTCCTCCATACTGGATACTTCCCCCTGCACTAAGCAGAGTGGCAGAGGAGTGAAAAAGTATAAGCTGCTTAAGAGGGTTAAAATAAAGCGAACCTGTTGACTTTTCCCTGCATGGGCATAGCACAGATTCACTTTAACCAGTTGCCGTCCGCCCGTTGAAAAAAAACGGACGGATGGCACAGCTGCATTGTCGGGTTGCCATCATTTTTTTCTGGTCGCGCGCCCAAAACAGATCTCTGCTTCATCAGCTTCTTTTGGGGTCACCGATGGCCAATTTTGGGTATTATTGTTTTTTGAGGTTTCGCGCGCGCACGCAATTTTAAGGCTTGACATGTTTGGTGTCTTTTTACCCGACGTGACCTCGACTTTTATATTTTACCAAAAAATTGGGTAATAATAAATGTTTTATCATTTAATATAGGGGAAACTTTTCTTTTTTTAAATTTCGGTAATTTTTCCTTTAATATAGTAAAAAATTAAACCCCCAGTGGTGAATAAATACCACCAAAAGAAAGCTCTATCTGTCCCCAAAAAAGGGTATAAAATTCATTTCAGTACAACGTTGCATGACGGAATAAATGTCAGTCAAAGTACCGCAGCGCTGAATACTGAAAAATGGCCTGGCCAGGAAGGTGGTTTAACACCGCGGATGTCAACTGGTTAAGCTTTTTTCAGTGAGAGGATTGTTTTTTTGTTTTGTTTCCCAAAAAGGAAATGGGATTTTGTAGCCATTTTACATACAAAAAGTGCTTAGCGCAATTCTTCTCTAATCTCCCAGCAATCTGTCTCTGCTTAGTACTACCACACATAACCTTTATCTTTATACATTGCTAACTATAATCTTCTCATTTATCTACAGCTGAAGGAGCTGTACACTTTGCTAAATGAGAACTACGTTGAAGACGACGATAATATGTTCCGTTTTGACTACTCCCCAGAGTTCCTGTTATGGTGAGTTCATTAGATTTGTGTGAGGTGGTGTGACATAGCCATCATAAGGTACAGGCTTTAACGGTGAGACTGCTGTGTGTTCTTTTCCAGGGCACTGAGACCTCCTGGGTGGCTGCCGCAGTGGCATTGTGGAGTGAGGGTCATCACCAGCAAGAAGCTAGTGGGGTTTATCAGCGCCATCCCGGCTAACATGAAAATCTACGACCTGTAAGTATTCTGTCACAGGCAGTGGGATGAATTTAACGGATTCACAGGGAAGGCAGTAATCCAGCTGCTCCATGATCAAGTGGGCTTTTTAAAGTGCCATTGAACATTTAGACCTGCAGATATTTGACCAAGAAGAGTGGGGTGTGTTTTGGATTTGTACTGTTTTCTGGGGCTCTGTTGGAGAGCTTTTCCTAGTGACAATGGTTTCGCCAGACAGCGAGTGAGGGAAAATCCCCATAGATAAAAATGCTTTTTTCTCTCTAGTGCAGGGGTAGCCAAACTCCGGCCCTCCAGCTGTGGTGAAACTACAAATCCCATGATGCATCTCTCTCCAGGAGTCGTGGCTGTGAGAATCTTGCAATGCCTCATGGGATTTGTAGTTCCACCACAGCTGGAGGGCTGGAGTTTGGCTCCCCCTTCTCTAGTGCAATTAAGGAACGAGATTCAGGTTATACTGCTGCCTACAGAAGAATTGGACAGTGGCAAACATAAAACAAACTGTAGGCTATCCCAGACTGCCAACATCCTACCACCTAGGGGGGATAGACGTCTTTTCTTCAGCTATGCTGCTGTAAAGACTAATCGGTTGTTTTGCTAGCACTTTTCTCTTCAGGGCAGTTCCCTTTGCCCAGTTTCACCTCAGACATCTGCAATGCAACTTTCTGTTGTCATGGGACAAGTTGGTTCTCTGTCTGAATTGGCAGATGCCGAGGACCAGGCTATCCCTAACTTGGTGGATCAGGAATCCATCTCTGGAGCTGGGCATGTCCTTCTACCTGTATTGTGGAAGATTCTCATGACATGTGTCAGCCTGTCGTACTGGGCATCTTGTCTGAGCAAGGTTCTTGGCGTCGGAGAAATCTCATCTCCCGATTAAACATCTTGGAGCTGCAGATGATTTAAATATCCCTTGAGCATTGGAACATCCCTTGAGCATTGGAACAATCTGTTGGCAGGTCATCAGATCCGGATTCATTTAAACAACGCCTCACTGGTAGCAAACATCGGCCATCAGGGAGGAACCAAAAGTTCACTTGTAGAGTTGTTTTTTCTATTGCCGGGAACCTTAACCTCCCCAACCCTAGTTCCTGTGGGTTACCACACTTGATTCATTCTCCCCATGTTAATTAAGCCCAGTAAATTCCTTCCTTCAATTGAAATACTGCCTATTGTTGTGAATAATTTGTTTTTTAATTATTCCAATTGGTTGTAACTAAATTATGTTCTCTTTACTCTCTCAAACCAGCACCAAGAAGATGGTAGAGATCAATTTCCTCTGTGTACACAAGAAGATGCGCGCCAAGCGAGTGGCCCCAGTCCTGATCCGTGAGATCACACGCAGAGTTCACATGGAGGGGATCTTCCAGGCTGTCTATACTGCTGGAGTTGTGCTGCCCAAGCCAGTGGCCACATGCAGGTGCCTAGTGGAGTTGTGTTTTATAGTCTGCTCACAAGCATACAGCACTGTAGAGTGATAAGTGTCAGCAGAATTTCCGCACACGTTATGCAGATTACAGTTAAAAGTGAATATTTGCCTCGTATGTCTAACAGCCCCTTCTGATTGGAAGTGCCATCTCTCTTGTCTGTCGAGCAGGTACTGGCATCGGTCACTAAACCCTCGTAAACTGATAGAGGTGAAATTTTCCCATCTTAGCCGAAACATGACCATGCAGAGGACTATGAAACTATACCGGCTCCCGGAGGTGAGTCCCGAGTGCCCAGGGGCTTCACAGCCGTTTTGTGCTTCTTATTCATTTTGGTTGTCACTTTTCTTGTCCCGACACCCCTTACAGTATACAGTACTTCCACAGATGTGTCCTCATATTGTCTCCCCTTTGTATGGAACAGGTTGTGAGGATGACACTTGTGTTTTTTAAAGGGGCGCTGTAATCTCCTGGGTGGTGATGCAGGTTCATTAGTAGGCCGTGCCTTGATTATCTATCTATCTATCTATAGATAGATAGGAAAATGAATTGCCTAGCATTTTCACCAATAGGGGGTAGGAATGCCAGTGCAGAAGGGACGTATAGACAGCATATGGATATTTGTTATCTTCATCTGTCCAGTCTTGGCTGGATTGGGTGACAATCCTATATGTACATCCAGGAGGGGAGGGGGTAGGTGTAATTGATAGGGATGCACCAATACCGTTTTTTCGGTATAGAGTACGAATACCGATATTTTTTTCCGTACTCGCCAATACCGGAAGTCCATTAAGGAAGCCAGGCGGTGTGTAAAGACTTGCCACCTGGCTTCCCGATTCGCAGGGAAGCCGTCCCGATGCTTCTCGTCACCGCAAGTATAGGGCTAGGACTAGTATCGGTGCATCCCTAGTAATTGACCTAAAAAGTCAACTCCATCAAAAACTCTTATTTTAGTTTATAGTCCCATGACAAACTGCTCATCAGAATTCCAAACGCAGCAAGACCTTTCCTAAAGGATTCAATGTAAGATAGGTGAAACCGACGGGGAACTTGGAAGGAGAATGTTATGTCGTATACGGCAGTGCAGAAATGCAAACTTCTGCGTGAAATTCTCACTGGAGTCTTCTGAATAAGGTCAGTAGGAGAATCTACCTGACCAGACCTAAAAGTGAAATGGTTTTTATTGGAGTAGGCCAACTCCTCCCCTTAAGCCTTACCTTCAGAAAGGGATGTCAACTCATTAGTATTGACTTAAGCTGGCCATACAGTATGCAATTTTCAGGTGGTTCTTGATGAATTGGCCGATATTCGCACAGTGGGTGTCCCTGTCGGCACCTATCCGAGCAGCATCCCTTGATCAGAATGTAATATGAGGACTTGCCTGAACTATCCAGTCAATTTGTATCCAATCAGGCATCATTGTAATGTGTATTGTGCACTATACAAACCATACAAGAAAAATAACATCTGAATCACGTTGTTTCCTCCAGTCTGTGCAGATGAGGCCTTTGCCTGGGATTCTGCTAGTATATGTCTTGGTAATATGACATTTTGTATTACTATGCTAAATAAAAAATTGAAAATGTATTTTACTAGCAGTTGAGTCAGGGTAGATGAAGATCTGGTCTGTCCATGTAGTAAAAACCATCTCTGATATGATTTTTTCAGACCGCTAAGACCTCTGGCCTGAAGCCAATGGAGTTACGCCACGTCCCACTTTTACACCGGCTCCTGACCCAGTACTTGTCTCAGTTCAACCTGGCCCCATTCATGCATGAGGAAGAGGTGAAACACTGGCTGCTGCCCCAGGAGAACATCATAGACACCTATGTGGTGGAGGTAAGGAGGAGCTTGGTGGTACATCTAGCATGTTTTCGATCATGGTATTACAATATCATTATGTTCTGTCGGTGTATGCCCACTTACTCCATGGAGTTCAGTTTAAAGTGCATCCATAGTGGAATTTTTATTCTGACGGGGCTCTCAGTCTTCACTATCCTATACAAAAAAAAGTTTTTTTAACATTTTACAAAAATAACAAATATATGAAAGCATAATAACGGTAGGTTTGTGCATATGTCATATATAGATAACAATATCTATCCACATGCTCACTGTGTGGCCAAAGCTGCACCACAACCTATTGACATGAGGACATCTAATATAAACAGACCTTACATAAAGACCAAACTATACCAGCATAGGGGCTTTTTCTGGGGCCCTTCTCTTCCATTCCTGGGGAAAAGGTTGTTAATAGGGAGGAGAGGAGGATATGAAGCGATCCGTAGAGGAGGAAGAAACCATGTGCATGGTATCTCCCAATTTGAATGGTCCTTACTCCCCTGAATGGTGGGGGAACTCTCCGTGCAGTACTACCAGTTTGGGGACACTACCCTAGTTCGGAGTTGCATCCAGAAAGGGGGACAAGGACACCTGAATCTAGGGTAATGGAATATTGGACAGTTAAGAGGTCTACAAAGGACCTGATATGAAATGTATGCTGCATATTCCAAGTATGATGGAAGGCTTTCATTCTATCTTGCTTTGACAACCTAGTCACCTCCATCTTCTGAACATAGTTCACCCGAGACACCTATTCTTTAACAGTCAATGTACTGGGAGATCTCCAGTATCTGGGGATCATCAATCTAGTCGCATTGATTAGGTGACTATTCCAAAGATTATTGCTATCCAATTGAAATGGGTTGTGCATGTAACACATATACTTCTGGTTTGTACACTAGTACACCCTGTGTTTTTATGAATTGCTAGTAACCCTGAATGTTTTCATGTCCTGGAGGTGCAGGCATTGCTGTAATAGGAATGTGTTTATCACAAGTTGACTAATGTTCTTATCTTCAGACTCCTGAAGGAGAGATAACGGACTTCCTGAGCTTCTATACGCTCCCCTCAACCATCATGAACCACCCCACACACAAGAGCCTAAAGGCCGCGTACTCCTTCTACAATGTGCACACCACAACGCCTCTGCTCGACCTTATGAATGATGCTCTCATCCTGGCCAAATCTGTGAGTAGTCAAAATGGTGACAGACTGGGATAACCTAGTATTTTCACATGGCGGACTACTGAATAGCAGTTCCACGTAAATTCTGCATGTATGATCCAGTTATTTTTCTGTTGGGCGCTGCCATACTTCCTCTCGCACAGGATAGATGAGATGTGTAGCCAGGCTGTCAATTGCAGCATGCAACTGCTCTGTCATTCATGTGTCCATGCCTTAGGAAGTATTAGGACACGGGCAGGCAAACTCCAGCCTTCCAGCTGTGGTGCAATTAAAATGCCTCATTGGATTTGTAGGACTCTGACAACCGCAGGCATGTCAGACTTTTGACAAAATGCTGAAATTCTGTTCACAGGTCTACTTGGGCTACATGTTTTAAGGGAACAAGAGTGCATATCCAACTGCTAAAGGAGCAGATTAGAGGTACTGCTATGTTTTAAATACCTATAGTAATGGTAAGGTTTATTTTAAGGGGAAGGATCAGTGTTGGTGGGGGCTCTTCAGCGTATGGTATTGGTTACAAAAGCACAGGGCCTCTACAGTAAACTTGCTAGTTCTTTGACCCTGAGACATGCTAAAAGTGATCAGAGCAGGATTCCTGGCACCAAGGACAGATGGCATTTGTGTCCCTCTAGTGGTTTCTTCACAGAAGCTAGGCTGAAAAGATGTGTTTTGGCCTGTTCATGTTGGGAATATAAAAGAGCTCTCCATTAGGGCTGAGCAGCAGATGGAATCGATTCCACGGACTGGATAAGCCGGGTCACACAGGGGCTCTTTGCCCTGATTAAATGGGTAGTCATCTGGCACAGACAGGGGTCTCGTACAGCATGTAAACTCTTCTACAGGTTATGTCACACAGGCATTTACAGGCTGCTTTGTTTCTCATCCGCAGAAAGGATTTGATGTCTTCAACGCCCTGGACCTCATGGAGAACAAAACCTTTCTGGAGAAATTGAAATTCGGAATAGGAGATGGCAATCTGCAGTATTACCTGTATAATTGGAAGTGTCCCAGCATGGGACCCGAGAAGGTAAAGACCTATGCTTGTACAGAACAGTAGATCCAGAACTGGTTATAAAGAGGGTCACTGGGAACTATAGCTTACTTCCAAAACTCAGCAGTATTTAGAACGTCATAGTAGGTCCATGATGGTGGCTGTCCTCATTGACAATGACCCGAGGTAGGGAAGTGTTGGGAGCAGGGATCCTATCTTTGAAAGGCAATCAAATCGAAAAATGGTAAGCGCACTACTAATTTAAATGACTATTAATGGTGGTAATCAGTGTGCGGTCTCCTATAACAGGGAGAGGACACCTGTATATGGAACAAACAAGAAAAAAACCCAATGAGCCCTTCTACCTGTGGAGCACCCAGGTAGTAGCGCTCTCTTTTTGTTGTACGTTTGGTTTTTATTGCGCTTTGTCCTCATTTTTGGAGATTTCCTTTTACTTTCTGTCCTAAAGACTCAATCAAAAGTGAGAGGAAATTACCCCAAGTGCATCCCCCCCACCCCATTCCTATACAGCTATAAAATGTAGGGTTTGCCATCACTTTCTTTTATCCATGTCTGTCAGTACACATGTCACCAGCAGGGACTTTTGACAGCAAAAAAACTGACTATGTTCTAACCTTTTCCACAAGACTTTAAAGCTGAAGTCCAGCTTTAGGTACATTTCCCACCACATCCCCACGTGAAGACAGAATCATCAACTGAAACCTTACAGAAAAGGGGGGCAAAGGGGTTTTCTATGTCATCAGACGTGTGTTTATGCAGCATTTAACATAGAGACGAAGTTCAGCTTTAATACTTGTCTCTTGTCCTGTTTTCAGGTCGGCCTGGTTTTACAGTAGCGCCTCTCACCCCCCATATCTGGAGGGGATAGGGTGTGACGTGGGCGCCAGCTGCTCAACATGCCAGAGATTGGACACCCGAGAGAGCAGCCCCAAGACGGAGTGCAGGATATGCGGGCATTGCTCTAGAACGCATCCTACTGATGTGTGTGGGAGGGAGGTTTCGGGATTACGGAAGTGCAAAGCAGGGAGCTTCCTCCAGCCTGGCTTGAATTTAAGGATTTTTCAGGGTCTTTCCTTTTTATTTCCCTCCCCCTTCCTGTATGGCTGCTGATGCTGATGGAAACAAGGTTTATTATTGGTCAGGATGTGTGGTGCTGGGCTTGCGCGGGATTGAAGGTGCTGGGCTTGCGCGGGATTACAGTTTCTGTATCTGAAGAGGCCATCATTGCAGGGTACAAATTCCAGGAAATCCAGAGAGTAGGGAGAAAGCAAGACCTTGTCAACCCAGTGCTTTTTATTGAGGGAAGATTACAAAATACAATGGCTCTTGGGTGGAACTCTGTTTCCTATATGAGACCAAAAGTGTGCTATTCCATATGAAACTGAAATCTATCTGGTGGTCTCGGTTTGTTATTAAAGATGAGGATACTTTACTGAAGTTCCCCAGTTCCTCCCCTAGACAAGAACTTCAGTGACGATGCAGATCTCAGATTGTATTTTCACTATGCTCATGCAAAGAGGCTGCCATTGAAATGGATGGAATAGCATCTCCTGCATTATAGATCTTGCATAGTAGCACACAGGACTGCTTTTGCAGAGCCTACAGAAGATTCTCAGGAGTTGTTAGGCCACCGCAGGTCAGCACAAGGGGGGTCCTTTGCCAGAAGGTCTTTAAAAGTAATCCGCTCTTTTAACTTCTCTCCAATAAAGAACACTGCATGGACTGAGAGGCCTGCTCCATTCTTTTATTTACTGCATGCTTGTTCTAGGTCTGAAAGTTAGAAGTATTTAGGCCAGACGCCAGCCAGGTCAAGAGCATTTTCAGGTGAAGGCCAGACTTTTTTAGGGCTCAGTGACACCTTAACCAGTGCGGTTCGAACCCAGAGCACACTGGATTGCATAGATCAAGCTGGGCAGTGTTCTGGGGCGGGTCGGTGCCATTCATGTCAGTGGCACCGTAGACACACACCCCACCTGCAGTGCGATTGCCCTCGTCTGAACACGAGGTACAGGAATGCCCTCCATTCTGGTGCAGAGCGATCTAATATAATGCTGCATGCACTATTTTTTCAGATCGCAGTGCACTGGATCGGAGGGCATTTCTGTACCTCGTGTTCTGATGCGGGGGTCGGGTCTCTGGTGCCATTGACATGAATGGCACCAACACGCCCCAGAACGCTGCCCGGCTTGATCTAAGCGATCCAGTGCGTTCCAGGCTCAGAACCCACTGGGTATGGTGTAACTGGGCCCTGAAAGTCCAAGTGTAATCAGACAATGATGGTTCCCTTTTATTTAATGCTAAACTACAGGCAAATATCTAAATGCACAGATGTCATTCATGTAAGAATCTGTCCATTCAGTCCTTAGATTAACGTTCTATTCCTTTAGGGCTTGTTCACACCAAATGCGGACCAGCTCTGTATGAGTTTCTGCACATGCAGTGTGTTTTGCTGCGTTTTAATGCGTTCTGGGTTGGGGGTTTTGTAGCCTAACATGGGCTTTCAGTGCGTTCCAGAGCAGAACAAAAATAGGGCTTGCTGCAGGTTTTCCACATGCTCTGGAACTGAACGCTCTGGTGTGAACTAGAGCCCAAAATACCATTGGAATACATTGGATGCGTTCTGTAACTGCTCTGCATCTGCTCCGCACTTGGTGTGAACAAGCCCTTAAGGAGTTTGCTGCATACAAATGCATTTTATGTAGAAATCCCATTGTTTCCTATCTATGCACTGCAGGTTAGTGTGGTTTAAAAGGGCAACAATGGGCCCATTTACACTTGCACATGTGCCTTACCATGCATGCTGCAACGCACATGGAGTAGTGTGGATCCAGCTATACACAGCTCTTCCACGCAGCACAGTCCTGTCTGGAAGGGCAAAAGACCTGCTGCAGTTCAGCAATACTTACAGGTCTTGTCCTCTCTCTGTCACTCTGCTCTCTTCTACTATCAGCACTTCTGTGCAACTGACTGGATTTCTGTGTTGTCTCCCTCTCACAGCATAAGCTCTGCTGTAGAGGGACTGCCAGAGCCTGATACTTGCATTCAGCTACTTCTAACTAATACATTGTAATGATGTAGGAAGGGGTACAGAGCTGTATTAATTCACCTTTTATGTGTAGTTCAGATTCTGTAGGTGTTGGCTGACCATAACAAGCAGATATAAATTTTTTTCAACACTTGATTTTGTCAATATTTTATTATTCGTATTCTAGAGGCAGCCTCATGATTAGAATATATACAGAAGTATACAAGATAATGCATTGACCAGAATACAGCAGGCAGTCTGGTTGTGTATAGATGTGATAATAAAAGGACATGGGCGCTGTGATGGAACCGTAAGCTTCATCCACTCCAACCGTGTCTGTTACAAAGCAAATACTAGTGTGAGGAGCCGTCACTGGAAGCTGCCATCATGTGTCCAGGTTGCTGATCCTCTATAAGATTGGCATTGTGACCCCAAAACTAATATGCAGCAGCGGATACAGAGCCCCCTCCAGCCTAAAACTAGCCACACACCAGGAGGGGCGGGCCTGAGCTCTTAGAGGACCACTTTCAGGCATGTCTCTTGACTGGCTTTGGCTCGTTGTTCATGCCTCTTCCTGTGCAGACAGACCGCTCTTATCCTTGGGAAAACAATAGCGCCCCCACCCCCCCGGCAAATGTCAGCCATGAGATCAGCATGAAAACCTTTATCTCTTGACTACTTAAAGCAAAAGTAGCCAAATTCCAGCCCTCTGGTTGTGGTAAACTACATATCCCAACATGCCTGTGGCTGTCATAGTCTTGCAATGCCTAATGGCATTTGTAGTTCCACGGCAGTTAGAGGGCCGGAGTTGGCCTAGCTTTACTTTTAGGGGATGATTTCTGAATCTCCTGCCCAGTGCCAGAGTGAACGGCGTTTGGACAGCACAACCCACACTAGATGGCAATGAGGAGTATAGGAACTTCCTATGCGCCTTGGCTCCATCTAGTGGCGGCAATGCGGAGTATAGGAACTTCCTATGCGCCTTGGCTCCATCTAGTGGCGGCAATGAGGAGTATAGGAACTTCCTATGCGCTTTGGCTCCATCTAGTGGCGGCAATGCGGAGTATAAGAACTTCCTATGCGCCTTGGCTCCATCTAGTGGCGGCAATGCAGAGTATAGCGGTGCTCCATCTAGCAGTGGCATACAAATGGCATTCCCCCAGCTATACACTGGAAGGAAGACTCAGCCCCTTGGTCTAATCATCCTTTCAATGACTTACCTGACATCAGTAGCCTGCTGGGCAGGCTCTCGTGGAGGAATCTGCATTATTCCTATGGAGAGGCCATCCACCACTGGGATACATAATAAACAGCCTCTCTTCCACAAACAGGGCCAGAGTGGGAGCCATTATCCCCAAAGGGCCACACAGTGAGAATTTTACCCACCAATTTATTGTCTTAAGGCATGCCAACTGTCAAGGTTGACTGCTTATTTCATCTCTCAACCAAACTATCAAGCCCTCAAATGGCTGATGTCATAGCTGATCAGATCTGCAGCACCATGGCAACTGCAATTGAAATAGAGGCTAAGATGGCACCTTCCTATAAGGCTTTGGGAAGGAGGGGTTGGGTGGTGGCATTTAAGGATAAATGTACTAAACGTGAAGGATTTGATGTTCCTCCTCCGCAGCAGCATAGCACCCGCCCTGCCCTATTGTACCAGCATAACCTGATTGAACAATATATGTTTGATCACTGTCATAGAGTGACCTAGTAGTAATATATTACAGACTATAATTAGTCAAATGTCTCTTCTCAATATCACTTGTCAACAAATAAAAATCCAGCTGCTGCAGCATAATAATTGCATGCTATAAAGAAATGATTCTTGGTGACTACTGTAATCACCAACAGCAAATATTGCCCAACATTTCAGCTCCAACTAATGAATACATTGCTCTTATGCTACAAGATACAGCAATAATATTTGTTTTCCAAATAAAAGTACCATTTATAAACTTACATCAGTCCTTGAGTCCCAGAAAAGGACTAAGCAGAGCATTCTGGGAGCCTTTCCTTCATCTCCCCTCACTCAGACTTTACACTGTAACATTGTGACAGCTCACATAGCAGGGGCTGATTAGTGTGAGACAGTGTGTTCACACAGTCAACATATTAGGACCATTGTACAGACAGCAGGATTTGTGTCTGAGACGTCATCTCTATCCAGTAAGTAGATGCTGATCCTGGGTGATGTCTGAATAAAGATGGTGCTGTCCTGGCATTAAAAGCAGATAAGTGCATTGTCAGCGGGACTGCTGTGATCTCTGTGAGATGTAATAAATACTTGAAGTGCTAATCTTACAAATTATTTAGCATGCATGCACTTAATGTGCAACTGAAGCCAACACTTTTCTTTTCCGGATTAAGTGGAGAGGAATTAGGACAGGTTTTTATTGCTGTCTGTGTCCCCATTAGGGAGATGTATGCACTCTATTTGTCCCGGTGACCGTGATCACTGAAGGTGAAGAAAACTCCAAAATTTGAGTTGCTACTAGAACAGGAATAGATGACAAATCTTCCAGTGGGGACACTAATTCTGGTGACCACCAGCGATTTCTTCTCACTTCCTGCTCGGGCAGGAAGTGAAGGATATCTCTTTGATGGGACACAGATGGCAAAAAAGCTCACCCTTCATGAAACTTTAACATGAAACTATATCTCTGAGGGCTAGTTCACACCCCCCTTCCGGCCGACTCACTTTGTTTTGGGTGGTAGGAAGCGTGTCGGTGCATTGAACTCATGGCACCGCAGCCACGCCCTCCGGCCGAATGGGAACGCGTGGCACATCAATGACTGCGTTCCAGTCTGGTGCGCTCAGAAAAAATAGTGCATGCAGCATTTTTTCTGACCAGACCGGAATGCAGGCATTAATGTGCCAAACGTTCCCGTGCGGCCGAAGGGCGTGGCTGCGGTGCCATGAGTTCAATGCACCGACACGCTCCCTACCGCCCAAAACAAAGTGAGCCGGCCAGAATGCGATGCAGTGCGTTCCGGCATGAATCGGATCAGAACGCACTGAGGCTGGTGTGAACTAGTCCTGAGGCTAGATCCACCTCTAGTGCCCACTGATTTCCTATTACTCCAGCCAATCAATCTGACTACAGTGTTATCACATAGGTGTTGAGTTGGTTTATTTGAGGGCAGTCATCGGTATGTGACTATGGTTAGTGCAAGGCTTGTGTATCAGAACCGATGGCCTGAGCACTGATATAAGGGGCTGCATGGCAATGTCTACATATCTTGTCAACACCAACGAGATGTGTGTAAATACTAACATTGGCGTTATGAGGGGATCGTGGTGGATTCCCCCAGTTGGGGACCTTTGCTCTTTCCTCATAGTGCCAATAAATGAATAGCAGGTCAAGGAAGACCCCTTTGTCATTGGCCGCAGAAGGTGGATGTAGCTGGGACAGAGAAGAACCCAATGTATGGTTCCACCCGAAATATCTTCTGCATTAACATTTTAAAGTCTACGCCTTCTTCCTTCATATAGGCAGCTACAGTAAATAAAGACTGTTGTGTAATACAAGTCCTTATAAAACGATGCCATATTGCTCTCCGAATACTGATTGATTTGAACTTCCTGCTCGCTTTTAGAGCTTGTATTGGCTTGTATTGGGATACCCTGTTTCCTAATGACTACTTAGTATCTTGGCTTCTGGAATGTCAGTGACATCACTAAGGATAAGGCACAGGAAAGACCTGGACAGCACAGCATACATGGAGAAATGGGCACCATAAGAGTCTTGTACGTGGACATCTGACGCCAGGATATGGACCTCTGAGGGTTCTGGAAAGGTCACTTTGTTCTAGGGCTTCTTGACACTTAGATGGTGCACGGTTATTGCTTTAGCCACTAGGGCAGGAGTCGGGTCTGGACTGTCCAGGGTCCTCGATGTGCAGGTGGACAAACAGCGTAGCTGGAGTCAGGGAGGCTCCATCGTTAGAGAGTAGATGGACGTGGCGATATCCTGAGGAAACAAAAAGATTTGTACACACTGATCAATTATTATACATATAAGTGTTCTCTCTTTCCAGGCTACATCTATATAATGAATGGAAATGTGTGTCTTTCTTAAGGTCCCCACACACCTTGCGATAATCGGGAAATCTCGCGATCGTACGATTATCGTAAGGTGTGTGGAAGCCGTGCGACCTCTACTACTGTAAGGTCGCACGACTTTTAACTTACGGACATGTTCGAAAACCCGCCGAGCATCGTACACAAGCGCACACTGCCCGTTCGGCATTGCGGTCATCGGAAGCCCGCCCCTAAGGGGGTGTGGCTTGCGATCATCGCAAGTACGATCTGCCTATGCAAGATAGGCAGATCGTACGTTTTTTTAAGTACCTTACAACCATCGCAAGACAAAAGTCTTGCGATGGTTGTAAGGTGTGTGCCCAGCATTAGCAGAAACTGATTGGCTGTACATGGGATCATATACTGTCCTCTTTCATTTGACATGCAGCCCCATTTACAAAAGGTAAAGCAAGGAACATGGGACCAATTCCCATAGCAATCCTATTTTGACTCATATTTCCTATTTAGTTAAGAAAGGTTAAAACTGAATGCCAAGTGAACAGCTAAATACACAGTTGACATACACATATGCAAACAGTTTAACCTGCAAAATGTTTTGCAATTCTAATGATCCAGGTTTGAAATGCAGATAGAACAGCCAGGTCCTGGACCTCTGTGCAGACTACATTCCAGTTAAGCAGTACAGTCTGGTCTACTACCTACCCCAGCCTGTGATTGGACCATGAAGGTACACCACATGATTGGGTCATCATTCTCCCCTCCAGGACTCTGAGCCCTGATTGGCTTAGAAGGCTGCAACTCCTCCCCTGTCTAAGTGCATAGGATTATATTACAAATATCTGGACAGATTTAGGTGCTTCTACGGTAGCACTATGTAAAAATACATTTTATGAGTTCTAATGAATATATAACTGTGTAAAGGGATTTATTCCAATTTGTCTGGAGTTGTGACTAGTTATTATTTTAGATATTAATATATTTTGTTTTTTTTGTCAGCCGTTGTACACACTGTTCAGTCATTACCTATATCAAGCAACCCCTCACTTCCGTTTCCCTCTTACCTTGCTTCAGACTGGGGAATGGCAGTGTGTACTGTCCCACAAAGTCATTACTGGATGTCTTGTCGTAATCTTCCACCACGAATCTTACCAGGGCTAGGGCTGGGCAGAGGACCTCCAGCCGCAGGGTCTCGTTCCATGTGGGGTTGAACCCTGGGAAGAAGCACTGTGTTACTATTTACTCATTATTACTGTTCCCTCCTGTTTTGTAATTCAGCAGTGATTGGCATTGCCTGGGCCTGGGTTACAAAATCACACACACCCCTTAGTCTCATACTTATATGACACTAAGGGGTTGATTTATAACATTTCTACCCATCCATCCGCTGGGAGAGTGTTGTTCGCACAGCATTGTCGCCGCTAGATGGAGCCGTAACGTAAACTGAAAATTCTTATGCTGCTCTGCACCATTTAGTGACAGGAATGCTGTGCAAACGTTTTATAAATCAACTACATGTTTAAAATGTGCAAAGCTATTCGCCCAGCAAAACTGCACATTTATCTATGCAAACTAACCTGCTGCTGTGAGAATGGGGCAAAATCAATTGTTCTTACGGCTATTTTCTCTTGTGGCCAAACTTTCTTCAAATAATATGGACAGAAGTGAATCGGGAAAATATCACAGTAAGGCCACTAGATGGAGCTGAGGATCATGGGAAATAAATACATCTGACAGGGTAATACACAAAAGGGTGAAGAGTTTGGAGAAGGCAGGAGAAGTGAACAATCTAGGACAACATAGCTGATTTGGAAAAATTCTCCAATTCAGCTCACTTTCCAGTTCAGCTATGTTGTCCTAGATTGTTCACTTCTCCTGTCTTCTCCAAACTATTCACCCTTTTGTGAGTAACCATGTTAGTAACAACAGATTCAATGTATCAATTCTAGAGAACACCAAAGAGAATTACCAGACATCTGTAACTATTGCAAATCCCCATAGTAGCAATGGTTACATTGATCTGCGTTCTCTAGAATTGCTACATTGTATTTCTTGTTATTAAGATGTAGTTATTTCCTATGATCCTCAGCTCCATGTAGTGCCCATAATGGTGTATTGTCAATGCTGTCTATAATAGCTGAAGGACATGCAACCAGAAGAGACAATGGACGGTCCTAATTTGATTTTATGCCATTCCCGCAACAGCTGGTTAAGTCACACAGAATGCATGCACATGCGGTTTTACTGGACAGATAACTATGCAAATTGTTTTATAATTAGACCCCTATGATTCAAGGTGTATTTGCACATCATGATTAGTAAAATCAGAATCTATTCATAGGTGTGCACTGCCCCTAGTATAGAGTGTAGCCCGCTATTATTAGAGAGCCAAGAAAAGTCTCCTTCATTGTTCAGTTTTAAGGAGGAGTATTGGGAGAGTGAAATATACTCTTCCCAATACTTACAGGGTGAAGAGAAGACAGGAGAAGTGAACAATCTAGGACAACATAGCTGAACCGGAAAGTGAGCTGATTTGGAGAATTGTTCCAAATCAGCTATGCTGTCCTAGATTGTTCACTTCTCCTGTCTTCTCTAAACTCTTCACCCGTCTGTAAATAACCCTGTTAGAGCCGGTGTGGTACACTGCAGGTGTCACACTTTGGCTATTGTACAGGACACCGGGGCTGGGTCCTGGAAGGACGCTATATTACCCCTCTGTTTGGACTGTGGCCTTTATTTGCAAAGCCTGTGTCCTGTGATCCTGCTGGATTCCCCTAACATTACACTATATATACCGAGAGCTGAGTGCTCAACTCACGGCTTCTTCATGCACCAGTGTGATATGCTGCATCTACATCAATAAATAGACGCATTTGAACAGGCCGGTGTCCCTGTTTCTACTTAAGCAATGTCTGTCAGTCACAACTTCCTGCAAGGATTCCCCTCTCCTCTCTGTTCTTCCAGTGCTCGTTGGGGGGACACACAGCAGAGGGGGCGGGCACAGCTGGCCCTGGCTCTAGAGAGGCAGAGCCAGCTGTCAAATCAAGCAGCCGGGTGAATCCAGGCAATATTGTCAGGATCCTTCCAGGCTAAAACGTGGCTCTTTGAATTCCAAACTTTGAATCATTACTACCTACATACTACAGCCTTCCAGCTGCAAATACTATAAATATCACACGGGAGTCTCACCATTGTTGAGGATGTAAGTGGTCTCCTGTTCCCTCCGCCTCCCCAGACTGTGAATCTCCACTCGGACAAATGGATCAACAATGGAATTTGGATTTTCCTGGTTTAGCTTTGGAAGTTGCTGAGCTGAAATGATCTACGGGAAGATAATAAGATAAAAGTAGTTTATGGAAGTTCACATCACATGTTCAGACATTGCGCGTGAAATCTAGTAAAATAGGACGATACAAAACTGGGTACTAACACCGCAATTATACGATCAAGTGTAGATCCATGAGAGAAAATGTAATACCATGATTTATTTCAGCTGTTCTATTACAAGATGAATGATGTACTTCTTAGCTCCATCTTGATTTACACTCCACTGCAGCTCTGAAGCTTATCTAAGAAAACAAATCCGAGCTATGCTCCAGATGGAGGACATGGAGTGAACTCCAAGCTCCAGAATCTTACCAACTGTAAGACATCTACGAAGGTACAGATTACCTGGAGAACAATCAACATACGTCACCTGCCCTTCCAAGTTCCAATACTCAGCAAACAGAGGTCATAGTTCTAGTATTCAACTCACCTTGATATTTAGAATCTTCATGCTGCTGCTGAGGTCTTCTGGGTTGAAGCATGTGTCTTCTCTCCGGAGAAAGTCTGGTTTCAGCACATATCCACAACAACCATTGTCCTGAAAACGCCCTCGATTCAGGTCCATCTTATAGCCTGGGGTCTGAAGATTTAGTGCCACTGTAGATGAAGAAACAGAGGACTGTCAATTGCATTCATATTTAACATACATTTGCCCTCCTCTTCCCTTTACCTAATGGACAAAACCGAAAATATCCCAGCATTCAAAAATGAAACATTTGTAAAACACTCCAAAAGCTCATCTGCTCAACCATCCTAATTTTGGTCACACAGTACAATCCTCGTTTCCAGAGCCCTGAAAGGTGGTGCATAACAAACTGGAAGTGCTTTTAACAAATATAGGGGTATTTGAGTAGATCACTTAAGGCACATGTGTCAAACTCAAGGCCCAGGGGCCGAATCCGGCCCACCAGGCCATTTCCTAGACTTCTACTTTCAGATCTAGGTATTAAGTTATTAATAAAACCAGTGATAATCGAATGCAGAGGCAATTATGATAAAGATTAGATACATTTATATACACTGAGTGGCCAGATTATTATGACCACCTGATGTTCGTAGGCAAATTAGCTATAATTAGCTATAATTTTGCACTGAAGTTGTTAGAGGGCCAGACCATTATAAATAGGGAAGCGGGTTGTTTACCACGACAGTAGAAGTGATTTGTTTCTGAAGATACGGGTAAACAACGCGATTTAACAGCCGATGAACGTGGGATGATTGTTGGCGCTCGGAGCCATGGAGCGAGTATCAGCAAAACAGCAGAATTTGTTAAATGTTCAAGAGCAGCTGTTGTTAAAGTGTTTAAAGACTGGACTGTCAGCCGAAAATCTGGGTCTGAACGTGCGAATTGTGGCCGTCAGCGACTAGTCAATGTTAGGGCAGAACGGAGAGTGGCAAGACTGGTACAAGACAACAGAAGAGCAGCAGTGCAGTGTCAGATTCCTCGCATCACCTTTCAACATCTCGTGGAGTCACGGGGCGGCCCAACGTAGTCATCTCGTGGAGTTATCTCGTGGCCCAACAAAGTACTGATGGGGTGGTCATAATAATCTGGCCACTCAGTGTAGTCTTACAGATACCTTTGAGGGCAACCATAATGTTGATGCGGCCCACGATTAAATTGAGTTTGACACCGCTGCAAGGTTTAAAGCCAGGGTTGATATATGTAATACAGTCATTAGATGATGAGAATATGTACTTACCAAGCTGGCAGCCGGCATTCCACATCTCCTGAGGACTAAAGTTGGAAGAGCCGGCTCTCAGCGCATCAGGGTAAATACGGCTGAGCTGCCGGGTATTGTAGCGCACCAAAGTATTTCCTGTACAGCATAAAAAAGATAGTTACAGGGTGTTGATGACATAACATGCAATTACATCTGAAATCTATTGTCATCATGTGGTAATTTTCTTATAAAGCAGTTCTATTAAATACAACCTCACCAAACCATCTGTCCTGCAACCAAAAGCAGTAAAACACTGGTAACAATAACTTTGTTAAATGCTTTGGCACGCAGAGGATAGTCAACCAATCTGACATCTGATAAATAAATAGCATAATGGGATCCTGGAGTTTTTGGGGATTTGAAGGCTACTGGTCCACTGAGGTGAATAGGCTTGAAAAATGTAATGAGCTATCTGCTGTAATGGTACTGGTGACATGTGCCCCTGGTGGGTAAAACGTATCTGTCCTATCGGAGCCCCCCCTCCCCCCCCCCAATTTCTTTATGTCTCTTACCTGCTATCTTGCACTAGGCTGTGCTCCCTTTTGTTAACTCCATTGACTGAGAGTCTGTTATCCCCAAGAGATGTCTTCCTTGAGTATAGCAAGTGGGGAGCTTCTTAAGTGATCTGATGGACTGTTCCTGCTCCCCATATGGTTCGCTATAGCAATATTTATTTTTTTATTCCTAAGCAGTGAAGACTATGGACAACCAGTATGCCTCTCATACTAGCTCACTTCATAGTCTATGGATACTTCTCTCATGCTGTTGCCATATCACATTGCATAAGGCATTCTATCCATTGGCATCTCATACTTTGTGATGCGTAGCATACACTGTTGAATTACCTTTGGGGGGGTTTTTCTGATAATCTTGAAAAAAAATCAATAAAACCTTTGTAAAAAAATACTGTATTAAAGATGTTCCTTAGATGATAGTCACAATAAAATCTTTCCATAGAGGTGAAACACAAATATCAATGATAGACAGCAATCCATGGCCACCAATAAGATTTTAGAGTTCATAGCCATTAGAACAATGGTATCTTGTTACTGATTGGCTGCTGTAAGGTATAGAATATTTCTCTAGCTGCACAACAATAGGAAGTGTGTTGGTTTCCTGAGGGGCAATGGGTTTCTCTCTAATCAGGGTCTATAGTTACCAGACTCTTTCATCAGTTTGCGCACTTTGTCCTCGCTGAACGAGCTCATCTCACATACACTGCCTGGTTGATCCCGATACTCCACCGACTGGCAGTATATTACCAGGTCAGAAAGCTCCTGAGCCGTTTCCTGTGTAGAGAGGAGGCAACACTTACTGTACTTACTTGCACACATGAGCAACGTAACACACTGGCTGTTGGATCAAGTTTCCCATTTACTTTCCTATAACATTTAACTGGGCTGCAATTATTTTTTGCTGTCAGAGATTTTTTAAGGCTAAATATATGTTGTTGAAGGATGTCTAGATAGATAGACAACAAAGGGAAACCATATCCTCATGAAAGACCTATCTTCTGACCTGAAACATATAGGCTGATTACATTCCATAATGCCTAGTTGCCATTCTAAAATGGTACCTGTCACTCTAGTGCTGTTTTTTTTAAGTGTCACCTTGCCACAGCCACATCCACCTGTATGCGCTGATCAACGGGGAGTATGCTGGAGCCTATCCACATGGCTACTGCTAGTGTGAATGCTTTTATTAGCCCACTGCACTTCATTTTTTGTCTGATTAAATAAGCCTACTAGCCATGGTATTCCCAGTACTTACAACATACAATAATTACATATTTTATTGTCCTTGAAAACGAGTTGTACATAATAAAGATCACGCCTAAAGTCTTTTTTTTAAGGCTGGTAGGTATTTCACCTAAATGTACCAAATATCACCATATTGTCTCCACTCACCATCCGAGCCCTTCCTTCTTCATCTTCTGCTAATCTACGCTCACTCAGCTTCTTGCCCTTCACCAGGATCTTCCCCCTCAATGCCTACAGAAAAGAAGATACAGTAACATAGTTGGAAGAGTGTAAAACACACATCATTAAGTATAACCTAGAAATACACATGGAATAGTAATGTGATCACAAAAGGAACAGTATGGGGTCTATTCACAAAAGGAGTGAAGAGTTTGGAGAAGGCAGGAGAATTGAACAATCTAGGACAAAATAGCTGAACTGGAAAGTGAGCTGAATTGAAGAATTTCTCCAAATCAGCTTTTTTGGCCTAGATTGTTCACTTCTCCTGCCTTCACCTAACTCTTCACCCTTCAGTGAATAGACCCCATATCTCTCATACATCAGTGGCCCAAAGTAATACGGAGGTAATGATAATCCATTAAAGGGTTGTCCCACCCAAACGTTTTTCAGTTTGGATATAGCTAGGTAGGCTAAATGATTGGCTGGAATCCAGCAGTAAAATCTGCCTACCATAGTTTCCTATTCGGTTCCTGACCACAATAGAGCTTTGGGTGTTCCCACCCTCCATGAGATGTTCCCACTCTTCCTATTGCAGATTGGATAATGTAAAATAAATGAAAACTCCAACTTGGTTACAAAGCCCTCATGATGGCCATGGCATCCACAACACAGGTGCAACGTTGTACTGTCAAATGAAATTCATTTTACAACTGTATTCTAAATTTAATTAAAAAATAACAGTTGGTGCCACTTTTTTCAATAATTCATTGTAAGCTTGAGTGTGTAATTGCAGACAACCAAAAGGTTGCTTTTTCTATGCCCTAGATGAAGTCCCACATACTGGAGGTGCTAACATAGGTTTTAGGATTACCTGAAGACCCTTCAGTCTGACACAGGTGACCATGCCACCATTGCTATGTGTATCGTCTCTCACCTCAGGGGATGGAAGCCGTGGAGGATCTTTAACATCTAATGGTTTTGTTATTAACATGTCCCCAAGGATAGTACGAAGGTGATGAGCCATCTTCACTTGCTGCTCCAGCCCACAGTGATTCTCAATGGACAAAATGACCGGATATGCGGAATACTGAAGGAGAGATGACAAAAATATTAGTGTAGCCCTATCCTCCAGTTTGGCACTTCTGGTATGATTACCAGGGATTTTCTGTACTTGCTGAAAAGTGAAACCTTTATATATA